ATCCGCGCTGGTGGACTGATTTCTGTCTTGTATGCCCGGCATCATGCCCCGTTTTTTGAGAACGATTGCACTGCAGCAGTATCCAGAGATCCAAAGATCCAGGCCTATGATGCGGCGGCATATGTTTCTGTGAATAGCTTCATGGTGGATAACAGAGCAACTGTTAAATTTCCTCGTGTATGAGGCAAATTCTAATCAGGTGATTTTTTTGGAGGGTTCTTAATTTGTTGTAGTTTTCCAGGCAACAATGTTACGTAAGCCATCGTGTAAGAGAATGAGGCAAAAGGAACGAGAATTTTGTGCGAAGAAAGTTGCACCACTGGCGCAGGAAGAGGATGATTGCACAGAAACACACCATAAACGATCATATTTCATTTTCCGGAAGAAAACTTCTCGTCACCAACGATCCGGAAAATCACTGTCCAGGTAAGAGAGGAGCTCCAGGCTTCAGACTTTGTCTTTGATTATTTAGAATTTTGTCTGATTTTTGAACCGACTTTGATTGACTGTTACTTCGTCATCGCATTTCTTCTCACTCTTGATGGAGCTGGCAACTTCTTCATTCTTTTCGGTTTAATCCTCTTTTATCCACGTAATTTCGTACAGCCGTTCCCTAAATAAAAAAATACAGAGTGCCTATAAGCCTAAATAATTCTTATCTTAAAAAAAATCGTTCGTTGAAAGATTTTTATGCATAAATTTGTACAGGAGCTCAAAATTCCTGAAAGGCTAAATTTTAGCCAGAAAACCAGAGAACAAAGATAGGCGAACTGGAATGGAAAGCACAAAACCTGCCTAGAATGTTAGGACGTTAGGGGATTTACCAAAGATTTAGACAAGGGCCGCCAGAAAAAATAGCTGGGATTTGTTGAACGTATGATTGTGCGGTATCATCTAGCATTAGGAGGTCTGGCATAGCTGTGTACGACGTGTAAGGCTATTCTGGTAAGTTCATTAACATAGGATACCCGATTGTCCAAGTAATTCTGGCTTATTCTCGATTACACGGGACAGATCAGGGTATCATAGATGAATTCGGGCGCAGTCGGGACGAGTTGTAAGTAAGTAATATAGGGTGTATTAGTTGGGTCAGGAATTGTAATAGAAAGCAGGAAGTACCATAGCATATGTCCCTTTTGTCGAAAGCTGGGCGTGTCATTAATTTTCACATGTTGCAGATACGAGCGGCGTGGCTCGATCGAAGCAGCTAAGCAAAAAGGTGTGGAAAAAGAGTGCCATTCGGCGGTCGAATATTCGGAACATTCGTCAAATGCGGACCTGGAATAGCAAGCATGGGCGATGTGTTTTAGCGCTTTTGAGCCTTGTTCCGGTGATCGTACAAGTATTTTTTGCTGTTAAAGAGTACCAATTCACCTTCAATTCTCCACAGGTGCTAGGGGTTGTTTTTTTTTGTCTTCATTCCATTTTGTTATCGTTCATTATTATTGTCGTTATTATTACTATTATTATAGCCAGTGCCGTTTCATATATTGAAGCTCTGCACTAGCAATGAATAGTTTCATGAACTTAGCGGCTGCAATAGTGATGAACATCGTCAGTACGATAGTTGTGTTGTTGTGAGCAGAAGGAGAGGGAAAGACCAGAAATGGATTGTCTTAAAGTGATGATGGGTAAGAGTTGTAAGAAAAAACACTAATCGGTATGACAAAATAGATAGAGAGATGGGATTCCTTCCCAATTATCAGTTGCTTTTTCTATTTAGTGATGAGGAAACGAATTTGGTTTGCTCGTTTTTTGATGGCTGATCGGTACCAGATAGTCGTGAGCGTTGTCAACCTGTTCCATTTAGTAAGCTTCCCTCCTAATATGCAGCTTTTGATAATCGCAAGAGCGGATGGTTGCTTCTGGCATATGCTGTCACTTGAGTTACTTCCGAACGCCTCCGTCTGCCAAAAAAAAGTACGAAAAATTTTTGACCTTCTAAGGGTTTGGTGATTTCACATCGCTAGTTCAGTCAAGTTTCCGAAAGAGAATGCATTGAAGGATTTTGATTCTGTTAATAGAATTAGTCTGAATGGTCATCCTTGACCAAATCAAAAAGCATTGTCTATTTTCATCCCACTTTGTTCAAATATAATTTCTTGGTGTTTAGACTCGTTTTTTTTTTTGGCATGACTTATTTTTGGTTAGTTTCTGGTGTCTCAGGTTAACTTTGGCTTTCTTTTGGCACATTTTTGCGTCTTTCTTAGTTAATTTTCATTTCGCTTAGCTCATTTTATGCAGTTTTTCCTTCGTCAGCACTTACAGTTTCTCCTGGAACGCAACAAGAGCGGCCATGTTCAAAGCAATATTAATTTCGGTTTGGAGCATTTATTCGAGAATGCACCAACTGGGCCTCATTTTGGAAATTCCCGGAAAATTTCTCAGAATGTAGAAAATCACTTATCTAGTCATTTTTTTTGGCGATAAACTGGTAATGGTGTATGTCGGAAAGTCAAATCCGTCATTAGCATGCTTTTAGGCAAACCTTGAAAAAGGGAACTTTTGACAACCTTTTCAGCGGGCGGTCGCTACTGGCATTTGCTATCGGTCGGACTGTTTCTGAATATTACTGTTTCATAGAATTCGAATACGGAGGGAGTTTTGACTTAAGATTACTGACAATTTTAGATTTTAATAAAAAATTTTTTGACATTTTATCCGCCCTCAAGTCTCATATCCGATTTAAGAGATGGGAAATGTCCACCTTTTTTTGTTATCCTTCTTCCGGTTTCCCAATCTCGTGTCTCTCTGTCGGCTTTTTGAGAGCTCTCTGGTACTACAATTTCCCAAATTTTTTAGCCAGCTGCTCTTTGCACTGGTTTTTAAATTTTTTTTGTTAAGCCAGTAGCGTTCAAATGTACTGGTCAGGATGGATAGTCCAGAAGATGCGCTGGCCATGTGAGATCGTCTCAGTAACACCACTGATCGTTCAGATAATTTTTTGGCGGTGTCCAACCAAATGTCCAAAATCTCATGGGATTCCATTAAATCACAAACAGCGTGCTTGAAGTAGGATTGGTTATTACTTATCATTATCAGTTTGTTGAGTTGATAACGTTAAACAAACTTTTGGCGATTTAACGAGAAACTGATGTATAATTGATTTAAAATGTTATCCCGTGAAAGAGGAAGGTTGGTAGCGACGTTCATCTGGATTTTTTATATGATACACCGTTGCTTCAAACCCCATTCCTAC